TCTACCAGTTTTCTAAAAATATTGCGCATTTTCCAGATTCCAAAATCTGCCTGCTGCACTGATGGCGCAGGGAGTTAGTGACCGAGGAACATTCAAAAGGGCTTTAAAAAGTCTCGACGATTTTAGAAAGCATCCAAAACGAAGGCTTTAAAAAATCTTGATTATTTTGGAAAAAGTCCAAAACTAAATTAAATATCCATATGTACCTTAGCTAGTGTTTAGAAAGAAATGTTCCGGTACATAAAAACGTATACGTTCTTGCTATTGCTGCAACTGGACCTCGTCAATACAACGATTTCCAATAGCCCAAACTTGAAAAAGTTTCTAGGAAAAATAGTCGGCTGCACAGGAGAAGCAAGCTATGAACTGCATCTGATCAAAGTACCAGCAGAATAAATAATGTTGAGAATTTTAAAATAAATTTTTACATTATCTCATAATTTTCATAATTTTAAAATTTTGTTAACTTTCTCTTCCACTTTTCCATTTCTCAGCATTTTTCCCACGATATATTTCTCTCAGTTTCAAAGAAACAATACAGAAACTATTTTTTTCTTTCATAATTCAAGCCGAAAATTTTGAATACCCCATCATCATCTTCGGCTTTGCCACCAAAACATCCAATTTTGTTACTGGATTCATCGGTAGTGGGTCGTTCAGATTTCGTATTTTCGGAACCAAAAATTCGTGCCAGAAGGCCACGATCTGCAAATAACTTGTTGTTTTTTTTATTCGCTCACTTCTTAATGTTTTTTTTTTTTTTTGGTCAAAACCAAAGAATTTTGCAAAGAAAGTAAAATACTCCAAATGTTTTTTTTTTCGAAGACAAAATTTTGCTTATTTCGCAAAAACCCTTAAGTTTTACAAAATTTTAACAAATAGGCTTCAAACCAACGCGAATGAAATCTGACTTAAAACCAAGTGGACGAAGAATCTGGGCCTTTACGTTTCTCTTTTTAGCATTTCCTACTGCAAGAAATTCCGGAAATTTTGTTCACGCGCATGCAACACAGCCGAAAAAATTTGTATACGCTGATCGCAGTGGCTTGAACTGAGCAAAAGTCGTAAAAAGGTTTCCGTAGGTGAATCTGCGGAAGGATCAATAATGAAATTCGATCAAAATTTCCCAAACACGCTCAGATTTCAAATTCAGTCACCAGGTGTGCGTGGTTCCCGCGTACAGCCCCGTGAAATTTTTTGGCGGAAAATGGCTAACTCAGGAACTGGCAAAGCTGGGAGGCTGAAATTTTCAGAAAATGTTCTCAGCCCATGTGTATGTGTGTGTGT